AAGCAGCCTGGTACTGGCACAAAAACAGACATATAGACCAATGGAATAGAATTGAGAACCCAGATATCAACCCAAATTACTATGCTCAATTAATATTTGACAAAGGAGGCACGAATATACAATGGAGTCAAGATAGTCTCTTCAATAAATGGTGTTGGGAAAATTGGACAGATACATGCAAAAGAATGAAACTCATCTTACCATCAACTTACACTATCCACAAGAATAAACTCAAAATGGATACAGGACTTAAACATAAGACTGGAAACCATAAAAATACTAGAGGCATCCACAAGCAGCAAAATCTCAGACATATGCCAAAGCAATGGAATCTAAATAGAAAATAAACAAAAGGGACTACATCAAAATAAAAAGCTTTTTCACACCAAAAGAAACCATCAACAAAACAATAAGAAAGCCCACTGTATGGGGGGGACATATTTGCAAATGTTATCACTGATAAAGGTTTAATCTCCAACATCTACAGACAACTTATACAACTAAATTAAAGGAAGATATATGAGCCAATAAAAAATGGGCAATGAGCCAAAACCGGTTTGGCTCAGTGGGAGAGCGTCGGTCTACGGACTGAAAGGTCCCAGGTTCGATTCCAGTCAGGGGCATGTATGTTGGTTGCAGGCAAATCCCCGGCGGGGGGTGTGCAAGAGGCAGCTGGCTGATGTTTCTCTCTCATGGACGTTTCTAGCTCTCTATCTCTCTCCCTTCCTCTCTGTAAAAAATCAATAAAATATATATATATTTTTTTGAAAATGGGCAATGAACCTAAATAGAATCTTTTTGAAAGAAGACAGAGAAAGACATGAAAACATGCTCAAAGTCACTAATTATCCGAGAGATGCAAATCACAACAACAATGTGGTACCATCTCACACCTGTCAGAATGGCCAACATCAACAAATCAACAAAGGACAACTGCTGGGGAGGATGCGGAGAAAAAGGAGCCCTCGTGCACTGCTGGTGGGAATGCAGACTGGTGCAGCCACTGTGGGGAACAGTATGGAGTTTCCTCTAAAAATTGAAACTGCGCCGAGACCGGTTCAGCTCAGTGAATAGAGCGTCGGCCTGCAGACTGAAAGGTCCCGGGTTCGATTCCGGTCAAGGGCATGTACATTGGTTGCGGGCACATCCCCAGTAGGGGTGGTACAAGAGGCAGATGATCGATGATTCTCTCTCATCGATGTTTCTAACTCTCTATCCCTCTCTCTTCTTTTCTGTAAAAAAAATCAATAAAATATATCTTTAAAAATTGAAATTTGACCAAGTAATCCCACTCCTAGGAATATATCCTAAGAAACTAGAAACACCAATCAGAAACACCAGCACAATTCACCATAACTAAGATTTGGAAACAGCCTAGGTGCCCGTCAGCAGATGATTGGATCAGAAAACTATGGCACATCTATATAATGGAATACTACACTGCTGTAAAAAAGAAGGAATTCTTACCATTTGCAGCAGCATGGATGGACCTGGAGAGCATTATGTTTAGTGAAATAAGTCAGGCAATTAAAGAAAAATATCACATGATCTCACTCATTTATGGAAAATAAAGAACATTATAAACTGGTGAACAAAATGATAGATACAGAGACATTAAAGCATCAAACAGACTATCAAATCACAGCGGGAAGGGTAGGGAGAGGTGGGGGAGATAAGAGATCAACTGAAGGACTTGTATGCATGCATATAAGCATAACAAATGGATGCAAAACTCTGGGGGGTGAGGGCATATGTGGGAGTGGGGTGGGGGGGGCAATGATAAGATTTGTACACGTATAATACCTTAATTAAAAAATTAAAAAATTAAATAAAAACATTAAAAAATGGTAATAACAGCTTACTACGTTCACTATGTCTGTAAGCACCAGGCACTTTTCTAAGGTACATGCACCACTTACCTAGCCTTTAAATGAGGTGCATGGCCCTTTTATTTTTTACATTTTTTATATTTTATTGTGGGGTTTTTTTTACAGAGAGGAAGAGAGAGAGATAGCCAGAAACATGGATGAGAGAGAAACATCGATCAGCTGCCTCCTGCACACCCTCAACCAAGGCACATGCCCTTGACCGGAATCAAACCCGGGACCTTTCAGTCTTCAGGCTGACGCGCTACCCAATGAGCCAGACTGGTTCCGGCGGTGCATGGCCCTTTTAGAAATAAGGAAACAGGCACTGAGAACTTGAGCTGCGCAGCAGGACCCACAGCCCGAGTCCCTGAGAGGACAGCAGCTGGCTGAGGCTTTTAAAAAAAATTTTTGATGGACTTCTTAGAGTGAGAGCAAGAGAGAGAGAGAGAGAGAGAGAGAGAGAGAGAGAGACAGACAGACATCAATTTGCTGTTCCACTTACATATACATCCTTGCGATCAAACCCACAACCTTACATATCAGGACAAGGCTCTAACTGGGCTACCGGGCAGGGCCGCTGCTTCCGCTCCGAAGTTCAAAGTAAACACTGTCAGAAAGTCACCAACCGGCAGGGAATCGCCCGCTGTGCCCTTCCGCACCAGCCCGACCGCTGCTGGCACCACTGAGCCCAAAGACTAGCTGCCAGAACAGCTCCTCACTTTTGAAATAAAAATGTTACTAGGCAGCTCAGGAAAACAGAACAAAAATTCCATAACCCATAGAAATTAGTGAAGTAACCAACTTCAAATTCATGGAACTAATTTTTTAACAGCCCTGTCTGGCAGCTCCTACATGTAAGAGTTGATGCTCAACAGAGACCTAAAACGTATAGAATGAGGTAAGTTTTATTTTGTGTTTCCCACATTGATGGGACCTGTACTGCTGTCAGAATGTACTCATTAAGCCCAGCCTCACTGGCTCAGTGGACAGAGCCTCCATTCACAGATTGAAGGGCCCTGGTTCAATTTCTGTCAAAGGGCGTGGACCTCAGTTGCAGGCTGGATCCCCAGCCCTGTGTCTCTCTCACATCGATGTTTCTCCCCACCTCCCTCCCACTCTCTCTAAAAATCAATGGAAAAACATCTCAGGTGAGGGTTAACAAAAAGAAAAGAATTTACTCCTTGTCTTCACAATCCGCCCACTTGCCCCTCCAGCCCAGAGCTGCCGGCTCAGAGCCACCCCACCCCGCCCGCCCCACCCCGTGCACTCGGCTCCAGCCCTCCCCCCCCCCCCCGCCCCCGGGCATCTGGCCTGGCCCAGGGCAGCTCCCCGCGCAGCCACCGTCTGGGGCAGGGGACCATCTGGAAGCATCCCTGGCTCGTCCACTGGACAGCAGTTGTGCCAACCAACTAGATACTACAACCTCTGCTTGAAAACCAATGGTCCTCAAAATACGGCCCCAGGCAGAAGCATCCACATCCCCAGGAACCTGTCAGAACGTTCGCCCAGCCCTCGGGAAGCAGACCCCGAGGGGGAGCCAGGCACCCGCACACTCACCGGCTTCCAGGCAGCTCTGGTTCTCAGCACCGTTCCTCGCACTCACAGCCACCAATGCGCTCCCTCCGCGGCACCGGACTCCGGGCCCTGGGGCCGCCCTGCTGCTGACCACCCCTCCTGGTCTGCTGACCTCGCCCGGGTCTCTTCCCTAGTTCATGTGATGGCTGCTGCTCCTCTGGAAAACCGGGCTTCCCCTGGTGGTCCAGCCTCCAGGGCCGGCCTGCAGCCCGAGAGCCCTGGAAGGCAGCACCTTCCTCTGGAGACCAAGGGAAAGACCTCCCTCTGCCCCAAAGCCAGAGGTCCCTGGGCCCCGGCCCCTCCCTGCTCCAGCCAGGGCTCCCCGGCTCCTGCGAGGAGGCAGAAGCCACAACTGGAAGGTTCCGGGAACAAGCCTTTCACGTCAGTCACAGCCCCCCAGCTCTCAGGACGCCTCCCCGGGCGAGCGCCCTCTCAGGGTTTCCAACCACGACGCCTGACACACAGAACCCGAGGAGCGCCCAGCCGCCTCCATGGGCAGAGTCCACCTGGCAGCTGGCCCTCCAAGCACAGCCCGCTGCCAGAATCCACTTCCCAAGTCTCCCTTCTCTCTCGCTCAGAAAGTGTCAGCCAAGAGAAGCGAAGTTTTCAGTCAGACTTCCCGGTTCCCCTGGAGGTGACGGGGCACAGGTTCAGAGAGAGTACTGCTGTGAGAATCACTAAAGGTATGTATCAAGCTCCTGGTTTACCACACAAAAGCAACTGCTACCACAGCTTTTTTAACAAGATAGTTGGGGGCTTTATAACCATCAGTCACCCTCAGCTTGCTGCCGGAAGCGGGCATTCAGACCTGGGACCGCCAGGGCACAATAAGCAGACACTTGGGCAGTCCCATCCAGCTCCCCCTAGACTCTGTATTCCTTACGCTGCAGTGCGTGCCCGGCTGGTTTGGCTCAGAGGACAGAGCATTGGCCTGTGGACTGAAGGATCCCGGGTTCAATTATGATCAAGGGCACATGCCTGGAATCCCCAGTAAGAGGCGTGCAGGAGGCAGCTGACCAATGATTCCCTGTCATCACTGATGTTTCCATCGCTCCCTCTCCCTTCCTCTCTGAAATCAGTAAAATTAAAAAAGAAAAGAGATGCAGTGCCTCTTCCCCTCACACCCTCCCACGAGCCCTCCCTGCAGGGCTGGGGCTAAATGACTTCAAACGTCCTTACTTCACATCTGAAATTCTAGAGGGATTATCCAAAAGAGGACTGCTGAGTGAGCACCAGCCAGAAAAAAGCTTTGAATCGCCGAGAAAACAAGCCCAGGATGGTGCTCCTGAAAGGTGTGCTTGCGTGTGCCTCTGTTATTACTAACACCTCTCCCTCAGCTCACTTCTTGCCAACAACTCGTTTCCGTGGTAACAGCCCTTCCACTCATCAGACCACCTTCATCGCACCACCTCATTGCCTCTTTCTTGCCCAAGCAAGTCAGAGCATCAGTGGAAAACAGAGGAAACCTGACACAAGTTGGAGGTGGGCACAGCCGCCTGCTCCCCGCCCCTCGGGCCCCTCAGGGCTCCGGCCGCATGGCGCTGAGCCCCCACTCACCATGTTCGAGATGCTGCGGGTGTTGGCAGGGTTCAGCATGACGATCTCGGTGGTGATGTGGCCCTCCACCGCCTCGGTCATCTCGTCCACTGTGCAGTTGATGGACGGGTCATAGGTCTTAAACCAGTTGTCCGCATACCAGCCGATGAGGAACCACACGTACTTCTTCCCGAAGAGCCGCTCCTTGTACACCTGGAAGCAGAAGAAGGGGACGGTCTGCCATTGCTTTTTGGTCCTATGTCGTGTGTCACTGTCCAGCCTCTGGGGACTCAGAGAGAAATCTGCAGGTCTCCGGCTCGCCTCCTCCCCTAAGCTCCTCCCAGTCTCTATCTCCAAGTGGCCTCTTCCAGCCATAAGGAAAGGTTACGCTAGACCCCCTGGAAACATACATGGTAGAAAAATGAGATCTGGAGAGAGTGTCATGTGTGTGAGATGGAGTCAGAGCCAACCGACAGGGACATCATATTAATCATCACCTCGGATCCTCTGCTATCAACTTCAGCAGAGCCACAGAGGAGGTCCTGGCGACACCTAGGGCCAGAGCCCGCCCACTCCCTCCCTCTCCAGATTCAACGTCACCTCACAGAACACTTTGCGGGCCTCCGTCTCATAGAAAAGTCCCACGATGATGCGGGCATCCTGGCGCTGCAGGCAGGAGGGAGAAAAGCTGAGTGCCACGGCGATGCCAGGCTCCTGCCAGGGGCAGTGTGCACGGCCAGTTCAGCAGGAGTGGGTGAACGTCGCCTGGAATGTGGAGATAAGCTTCCCGGGACAGGCTACTGTCTCACAGAACCTAGATGAGGTGACTGATGCGGGCATCAGCCAATCAGGGGGGCCCCTACTGCAATCTCTCCCTGTATCAAACCCAATGCTGGGCATCTTAAGCTTACACAACGTTGTGTCAACTACATCACAACGTAAAACCCAACATCGCCCACCGGCTCTTCTCACCAACCCACCGCTGTGCCCCCAGCAACTCCCCGCCATCCCACCTTCAGGTTCTTGACGGGCACCGCTGGGTCTGAGAAGAAACTCTGGCGGAAAGTAATCTCAATTCCAGCCTCCTTCACTCGCTCCTCCAGATCGTCCAAAGTCTTCAGTGAGGATGGGACAGAACAGAGGTGCACAGCAGGTGAGGACCAGAGATCTGGCCTGGGATCGCACACCCACAAAGGAATGGCAGTGCAAACCTCACTCCGCCAACATCCTCTGCCCCGGGTGGGAGTGGTCGGAGGACGGCCCCAGTCTCGGGAGGAGCTTCCAAGCAAGGAGGAGCACGGAGAGCTCTCCTGCACCTCTGTGCCCGACAAGTCACCCGCTCAGCCCTCTCACCACTGACAGCAAACATGGGGGAAGGAAACAGGACCCATAAAAGACAGGCAGGACCTGGACAGACAGGATGATGTCAGTCTCAAGAGGCAGGTGAGAGAAACCAAGATGGCAGCATAGAAAAACACCTAAACTGCTGCCTCGCACAACCATTTCAAAACTACAACTAAAAGCCAGGACTGGTTTGGTTCAGTGGATAGAACGTCGGTCTGCGGACTGAAAGGTCCCAGGTTCAATTCCGGTCAGGGGCATGTACCTGGGTTGCGGGCACATCCCCAGTAGGGGGTGTGCAAGAGGCAGCTGATCGGAGATTCTCTCTCATCAATGTTTCTAACTCTCTATCCCTCTCTCTTCCTCTCTGTGAAAAACCAATAAAATATATATTTTTAAAAACTACAACTAAAAGAAAAAACGAACATCATCCGGAACCACAGGAAGGCTGGCTGAGCGGAAATTCTACAAATAGAAGAGAAAAGCACACTGAGACTCAGAGGAGCTGCCGGAAGGCAGAGGTACAGAGAGGGCTGGCAATGAGGATGCGGCTGGCTTTTTCAATCAGGAGGGAGATACAAGCTCCCAACTGCTCTGAACTCCAGTTCCGGGCAAGACTCTGGGAACCCAAACTCATATGGGGAGAAACTGGACTGTCTAGCAGCAGGTGGAAATTGAGGGCAGCTTTCTCTCAGAGGTACCTGCAGCAATTACCGCAGGACACTGCGACCCAGGGCCTCTTAGGCAGGGCTGATGGGAAGCCATTGCTGTTTGCTCCACCCTGAGATTCCGCCTCATGAGGCCAGTGCTGATTGTTCTGCCCTGAGACTCTGCCTGATCCAAGCTGAGCGCAGAGGCTTTTGCATATGAATGGCCTGGTCCAGTGGTCGGCAAACTGCGGCTCGTAAACCATGTGCAGCTCTTTGGCCCCTGGAGTGTGGCTCTTCCACAAAATACCACAGCCTGGACCGGTCTATTTTGAAGAAATGGCGTTTGAAGAAGTTTAAGTTTAAAATATTTGACTCTCAAAAATATTTCAATTGTTGTACTGCTGATATTTGGCTCTGTGGACTAATGAGTTTGCCGCCCACTGGCCTGGTCCTTTGAATTCCAAACTTACCTAACAAACTGCAACTGAGTCTGTGAGACCCAGAACATCCAAAAAAAGGCCCCACAGCAGCTTGCATTGCTTCACAGCTGGGCTGCATCTGGGCACCTCCAAACCCCAAACAAAGAAGAGGAATCTGCAGATCTCTCTGTAGCTCCTGCTGGGTGGCCTCTGGCAGAGGCTAAATTAGCACCTCCTTGGAGATCCAAGAGCCAGTGTACCAGGAGTCAGAGTGGGACCATCCAGATCACAACTCCTCAGATCCATAAGGGACACATTCAGGGAGTAGACTCAGTGAGCACCAAAGCCCCACTGAAGCAAGTCTTGCCTCATAAGGGTGTCTCCAGCCCAGAAGTTCTCCCAGCATAGACACTGCTGGTCATCACAGCCAGTTGGCCTGGAGGCCAATTCCTCCCAGTGATACCAACAACATCAAGGCTTAACTACAAGAAGACTGTGCACACAGCCCACAAAGGGGTGCACCAAGAGTGTCCACCTCAGGTAACTTGGGAGGCTGAGCCATTGGGCCCTCAAGGCACCTGGCACACAAAGCCACTCTATCAACTCAGGGAAGCAGCCAAAATGCAGAGACAAAGAAACAGGTCACACATGAAAGAAATAGCGGAAAGCAAACGACTGGATATAGAGTTCAAAACCACGGTTACAAGATTTTTCAAGAATTTTCTAGAAAATGCCAATAAATTTAGTGAGACCCTTGGGGATATGAAAAAGGACCAACTAGAAATTAAGCATACGTAGGGGTGTCGAACTCAAAAGAGAAGGGGTCAAAATCTAAAATCCAGCCTAAATCGAGGGCCGAATGGTTTACTGAATAGTCATAAACTGTCATTGTGATGGAAATGCAGCGGACTGCAGTGATGACAGCGCGGTGCGGGCCACATTGCAAGGCCTGGCGGGACGGATTTGGCCCGCGGGCCTTGTGTTTGACACATGTGGACTAGAGGATCGCAGGAATCAAGTCAAAGATTTGAAATACAAAGAGGCAAAACACACCCAACCAGAAAAGCAAAAAGAAAAAAGAATCCAAAAATATGAAGATAGTGTAAGGAAGCTCTGGGACAACTTCAAGCGAACCAATATACGAATTATGGCGGTGCCAGAAGAAGAGAGAGAGCAAGATACTGAAAACCTATTTGAAGAAATAATGAAGAAAATTTCCCCCAACCTGGTGAAAGAATTAGACTTACAAGTCCAGGAAGCTCACAGAACCCCAAACAAGAAGAATCCAAAGAGGACCACACCAAGACACATCATAATTAAAATGCCAAGAGCAGCCGAAACTGGTTTGGCTCAGTGGTAGCACGTTGGTCTGCGGACTGAAAGGTCCTGGGTTCGATTTCGGTCCAGGGCATGTACCTTGGTTGCGAGCACATCCCCGGTGGGGGGTGTGCAGGAGGCGGCTGGTTGATGTTTCTCTCTCATCAACGTTTCTGGCTCTCTATCTCTCTCCCTTCCTCTCTGTAAAAATACCAATAAAATATATTTAAATAAAATGCCAAGAGCAAAAGACCAAGAGAGATTAAAAGCAGCAAGACAAAAACAGTTAGTTGCCTACAAGGGAGCACCCATACGACTGTCAGCTGATTTCTCAACAGAAACTATGCAGACCAGATGGGAGTGGCAAGAAATATTCAAAGTGAATAGCAAGAACCTACAACCAAGATTACTCTACCCAGCAAAGCTATCACTCAGAATTGAAGGGCAGATAAAGAGCTTCACAGATAAGAAAAAGCTAAAGGAGTTCATCAGCACCAAACCAGTATTATATGAAATGCTAGAAGGTATTCTTTAAGAAGAGGAAGAAGAAGAAAAAGGTAAAGATAAAAATTATGAACAATAGCCCGGACCGGTTTGGCTCAGTGGATAGAGCGTCAGCTTGGGGACTGAAGGGTCCCGGGTTCGATTCCGGTCAAGGGCATGTACCTTGGCTGCGGGCATATCCCCAGAAGGGGGTGTGCAAGAGGCAGCTGGTCGATGACTCTCTCTCATTGATGTTTCAAACTCTCTACCTCTCTCCCTTCCTCTCTGTATAAAATCAATAAAATATATTTAAAAAAAAAAATTATGAACAATAAATCCATATCTACCAACAAGTGAATCTAAAAACCAAGTGAATAAAAAATCTGATAAACAGAATAAACTGGTGAATATATCTAATAGAATCAGGTGCATAGAAAGGGAGTGGACTGACAGTTCTCGGGGGGAAAGCAGTATGGGGGTGCCGTAAGGAAGGGGGGTGGGGGTGCAGGAAGAGACTAGACAAAAATTGTACACCTATGGATGAGAACAGAGGGGTGGGGGTGAGGGCAGAGGGGAGCTATGGAGGTCGGGGAGAGAACTGTAATCATCTGAACAATGAAGATTTATTTAAAAAAAAAAAAAAAGAGGCAAAGGACAGAAGAGTGTCCTGAGTCACTGAGATAGTGTGTGTGTGTGTGGGGGGGGGGGGAGGGGCGGTGTTAAAGGGCCATGAATGTGAGAGTAAAGAGAGGATTCAAAGAACAAAATAAAGGAGAAGAAACCCACTGTCTTCTTTCTCACAGCTCCCCCCCTCCCCCGCCCCCCGGCCTTGTCAGCATCCGAGTCAGCTACCTGACCCTTGTTCATACTTCTCGTTCTGTCCCTGCCTGCTCGCCCCCTCCCTCCTCACCTCTCTGTCTCTGTCTCCATCTTTCTCTCCCTCGCTGTCTTCACAGCTCCACCCCTCTCCCGTCCACACACACCAGCCCTCGGAGCGCCTCGGAATCGCTACCTCCCGGGTTCCTGTCGCCGACTTTCTCCCTCACCGTGTCCTGACTTTGGAGTGAGCCTGCTTTAGTGAACTGGGTCAAGCAGGGACTGCCTGTCTGGGGAACAAAGCATCAAAGGGGGAGACCTACAATCCTTAAAATTCCACGTGCTCTTCCTCTGGCACAGAAAGAGCATCCCCGGGGGCTCCGTTCTCTGACAAAGAACCAGGTCGCCCAGGCCACCCCTTTCCGCCCAGCTGGGTGGGACCGCGGCCAGTGCCTCACCGACGTGAAGACCTCGGTGGTCTGCTGGATGGTGGCGATCTTCTTCCAGCCCCACTTCTCAAACAGCTTCACGCGGGTGGGGTTGTGCAGCGTGGCGGACGGGTGCGTCCGGAAGAAGGTGGGGAAGCGCTGCCGGTTGGACAGGGCCGGGGAGCTGGAGCCGTAGGAGAGCTACGGCAGGGGAGGGGCGGGCACCATCGTCCAGGACATGCCAGCAGCTGCCAGGGCGCCTCCCCCGCTCCGCGCTCCAGGCACCTCCGCCTCCCCGCACCCAAGGTCAGAGGCCTGGACCCCTCGCTGGCGCCTTCTAGTGGCTGTGAAGGGGGGGCTGGTGCTAGGAGGCGGATCGTCCGGTCTGCCAAGGGCTCTGGATCTTGGAAGCCATCCCCTTAAACACACCCCAAAAATGACTTGCCTTCGACCCCACCCCACTTACCACAATGAGATTCCACATCCGGGCAGCCTCGGCCACCAGCGTGGACACGGAGCTGCAGCCCGGCATGAGGATGATCTTGATGGGGTCGTTGTAGAGCAGCTCGTACAGGTACTTGGTGGCCTGGCCTGGGTCACACTGAGTGGGGAGGGGAGGATGGTGAGGGCCGGCTCTCCTCGCTCCACCCATCCCTGCGACCCAGCCACTTCCCCCAACTGCCCACCCCTCTGCGGAAACCCTTTTGTCATCATCGCCATGTTTCCCGTCTTCTGGGTTCCCCTCTCCCGTTAAATAACTGCCTTCCAGCTGCTGCTCACCCACACCCTCGCCTCCCCCGCAGCACCATGTCCGTACCTCACCCTCCAGCTCACCGGCCCCGCCCGCCTCCTATCCCATTCCTCCGCTCAGGGAGAAGAGTCCGAGGGAAATTAGTGACCTCTGCCACGTCCCAGGCAGCTCCTCAAAGCCATTACGAACCCCTCCCTCCCTCCCGCCTGCAAACTCCCCTCCGCCTTCCTTTCCCGCTTCTCCGGACTGGGCCGGAGAGAGCCGGAGAGAGCCGGAGAGAGCCGCAGCAGGTGCGCTCCTGCTGGGCTGACCTTTGCTGGGTCCACAGAGAGACATGCAGGGCAGCCGCGGGGGAGAAGAACTGGGGAGAATTAACAGCATGACTCTCAGGAAATGAGATGACTTTCAGGGGTGCCTGAGGAGAGCACGGGGTGGGAAAGTAACCACACAGAAAGCCTGAAAAGGATTGGGGGGCGGGGGACCTGCCCGTGGCCTTTCAAAAGCTGCTGGAGCCCCAAGGAAGCCAGCGGGGAGCCAGGCCAGAGGGACAGACAGGAGCCAGTTGCAAGGAAATAAAGAAGGCCCCCTAAGCCGTCTCTCCCCCCCTGCACTCCCCCCGCGGCCAGCCAGGGGCACTGCGGAGCTCAGGCCTGCCCCCCCAGCCCGGGGCACTGCGGAGCTCAGGCCTGGGCCCTCCCCCCCCAGCCCAGGGCACTGCGGAGCTCAGGCCTGGGCCCCCCCAGCCCGGGGCACTGCGGGGCTCAGGCCTGCCCCCCCCCCCAGCCAGGGGCACTGCGGAGCTCAGGCCTGGGCCCCCCCCCAGCCCGGGGCACTGCGGAGCTCAGGCCTGCCCCCCCAGCCCGGGGCACTGCGGAGCTCAGGCCTGGGCCCCCCCAGCCCGGGGCACTGCGGGGCTCAGGCCTGGGGCCCCCCCCAGCCCGGGGCACTGCGGGGCTCAGGCCTGGACCCCCCCCCCCAGCCCGGGCACTGCGGGGCTCAGGCCTGGGACCCCCCCCCCCAGCCCGGGGCACTGCGGAGCTCAGGCCTGGGCCCCCCCAGCCCGGGGCACTGCGGAGCTCAGGCCTGCCCCCCCAGCCCGGGGCACTGCGGGGCTCAGGCCTGGGGGCTGGCAGGCTGAAGCGCCCACTTGCCCCACGCCAAGGGCAGTGCTGTGTCCCTGGACGGCAGACTTTGAAGCTGCTGCTTCTCTCCCCTGAGGCGTCTTTGTGTGTCTTCCCCAGGATCTGCTCCCCCGGCCCTGCCCGCTCCCCACAGCCCCCGCCCTCCCCTTCCTGCTGGAGGAAGGCGGTGAGGAA